TGTAAAATCTAGTATTTCATGCAAGCTTCATTGTAAATCAGAGGGTAGCAACCCCATCGAGTATCTATTCTTACAAATAACAACAAAATCAAATAAAATCCTCTTAGGTTGTGTTTACAGGCCAAATAAATACATTAATTTTGTTGACTTTGTTGATTATTTGGAAGAACTTACCTTGTCTTTTAACAATATCGTAATAGCCGGTGATTTTAATTCTGATCTACTCAGCGATGACACTTTCGCATTGGCAATGAGGAATTTGGGGTTGTTTTCCGTGAACTGTTCGATTCCCACTCATTTTACAAATACCAATAGCTCGCTACTTGATGTCTTTTTTGTAAATAATAAGAACAAAGTACTTTTATATGATCAACTCGATCTTTCAAGCTTTTCTAAGCACGATCTTATTTACCTCATTTTTGATTTCGAGTTGACAAGCAAAACAGAGTACTATTCTTACCGCGACTTTGCGCATATCCAATATGAAGACCTTGAGAAGTATGTCGACTCTGTGAATTGGGCATCCATATACACAATGGTTTCAGTAAATGACCAAATTGACTTTATTCAAGCTAATATTAAAAGCCTTTTTAATCAATTTGTGCCGCTTGTTACGAAAACTATTTCGGATAAATGCCGTCCTTGGTTTAATAGCCATATCAAAACGTTAATTTCAAAACGAGATCGAGCATACCGAAAGTGGAAGCGCCATAGGACAGATGTCCTTTACAGCGACTTTAAAACTCTTCGAACAGAGACAATTAAAGCAATAAAAACCCAAAAAATTATGTATTACGACCAAAGATTCAGTGCAGCAATTGGGTCAAAGCAAAAATGGCAGCGAATTCGCGAAATAGGGATTGGAAAAGAAAAGGCACAAGTCCTTGATTCTGTAAATGTAAATGATTTAAATAAGCAGTTCCTTGACTCCTCGAATACTTTTGAAAATATTGCATATGAGCTCTATAACTGTAATCCGTATAGGTCGCTGTCAAACTTCAGCTTTAATTGTGTTGATGAGTGTGACGTTGTCCAGTCAGTACTGTCTATAAAATCCAACGCCGCTGGTTTGGATGACATTCATCCGAAGTTTTTCAAATGTTTGCTCCCGAAACTTCTTCCATATATTACCTACGCAATAAATAACATTCTTACATCAGCTGTATTCCCCAACTGCTGGAAAAAAGCCAAAATAATACCCATTCTGAAATCAAATGGTGACTATAGACCTATTGCGATTCTCCCATATCTATCTAAAGTCTTAGAACGCATAATGCATCAGCAGATTGACTCGTTTATATCTAAAAATTCCCTGGTCAGCGCTTACCAATCTGGCTTCAGGCATAAGAAAAGCTGTACCCTTTCGCTTCTTACCGTTTCAGATGACATTAGAATAAATATGGACAATAATCGCGTAACCTTGCTTACTCTTCTTGACCACTCCAAAGCTTTTGATACAGTAAATCACAAACTACTGTGTCTCAAATTAAAGAATTTATTTCAGTTCTCATCTTCGGCTGTAAACTTAATTAGCTCATATCTTTTCGGCCGATCGCAAGCAGTCAACATAGGCAATGCAATGTCAAGTTCTCTTTCCATATCTAAAGGAGTTCCTCAAGGGTCGATTCTCGGCCCCTTACTGTTTGTTTTGTACATCAACGATCTGCCGAAGGTATTAAAGCACAATAAAATTCAAATGTACGCTGATGATGTGCAATTGTATTTGAGCTGCCCACTTCACTCATTGAACCTATGCATACAGAACCTCAATAGTGATTTAGACCTCGTTCACGAGTGGGCAAGTAACAATGGTTTGGTCTTAAATCCAAATAAATCCCAATGTATTGCTATTTTTAAAAAACATTTTGACCTCAACGTTTATGATACAGTTTCATTGAACAGAACTGTGATACCATATGTTGATGTAGCTAAGAACCTGGGCGTACTATTTAACAGAACACTAACGTGGGATAATCATGTCTATAGCACAATTGGTAGAGTATATGCTATGCTAAGGTATTTATGGTCAACACAACACCTAACGCCGATGCCCACTAGAATGTTAATCGCGAAATCTTACTTGCTACCAACGCTGTTGTACGGTTGCGAACTCTATGCTAACAGCGATAGTCAATGCAATAAAAAACTCAACGTGCTTTATAATAACATCGCCAGGTATATATATTGCAAAAAACGGTATGACCACATTTCTCAATGGGCTCGCAAGATAACTTCAGTATCACTCGACGATATGCTGAAGCTCAAGTGCCTTACAATGCTTCAGAAAATCTTACTCTCAGAGGAGCATCCGCATCTCAAAAATCGTCTTCAAATTACTCAATCGTCACGATTACAACAGCTTTTGCACCTGAAATTCAATTCTGTCATATCTGAGCGTCAGTTTTTCGTCTATACTATTCGCCTATGGAACAAATTACCCCTTAAACTCAGGGCTATTAAGGACACATTGCACTTTAAAATAGCATTACTTAGACACTATGCTGACTAAATGAAAATTTGTAACTATTTAACTCGCGTCAGTCACCCCAACTCTAACCGCTAAATTACTGTATTTTTTCTTTATTCTCTTCAATCTTACACTTTATGAATAATTTTATAAGTTTTAGATGTTAAGTTCAAATTTTATACATTTTAATATCGTATTATATTGTAATATTCTCAGTATCTAACACTGAAATATAACCTGTGGTTGTTGTGTTAGACTACTTTAAATAAATAAATAAATAAAATAAGCTACATGTATCTCCTATACCACTGTTTGTTCAGAAAAAAAGTTCTTGCGATATAGCTCCTTTAAGTAGGCAACTACGGGCATGAAATTGTGTACCGTGTTTACTTATCGATAAGATAAAGCCTACTGTAAAAATCATTTAGATTTGTGCTTTATAAGGTAGTATATCTTCCATACCACTGATTGTTCAGGTACGAGTTTTTGTTGTATGATTCCTCTGTCTATATATGTAGCTCCCAAACAACTAGTTTAAGATGCAGTACTAAGTTGAAGTAAAATTTTTTTATATTCACGAAAGGTATGAATCCTTAAATGCAATTATTTATACATTCAAAAGACCTTTCTGGGGATCTTGGGGTCCGAATAATATGAATTTGCAATTTATTTTTGGAAAACAAAATGGCCGCTTGACTGCCTTTTAATGCAAAAAAACATAGAATTAACATGAAGGAAAAGTGCAAGCAATATTTCTTCATTTGCACCAAAGTGCACTCAATCCTGAGTTTGAGAAATCCTAGATTTCATTTAATTCCGACTGCCGAACAGTGTTATGAGATGTTGCTTATAAATGTTTGTTTGTTGTCAATGGGAAACATCGGCCATGAAAGGGTCAAAGTATGATATATCGATGTTCATGCCTCGAGGAGAAGATTTTTTTCTATTCGAGAGTTCTTTGACCCCAAGTACCCCGTTATAGTACTTAACCACCAGATCTCAGTTCCTACTCCCCTAATGTCAGTAAATTAAGGCTCGTCAAAAATCCTTAAACTTTTGCTAAGGAATTAATCGACGCGAAGGCTATTTTGATATTTGCTCGAAAGGCGACCCCTCCTTTTTAAATTTTTCGTCGTGTCTTCGGGATTTACAGTCCGATCTGAACGATTGATATATCGATGTTGGGATTTACAGTCCGATCTGAATGTTTGATATATCGATGTTTTTGTCTCGAGTAGGAATTTTTTTTGTTCCAAAGTTCATCGACATAAAATACCCCCTTACAGTACTTACCGACCAGATAATTACAACTTCTACAGCACTAATTAAAAAAAAAATATGAAAATTAAAAGTTTAAAATAGTTCTACTGGAATAATCAAAGTACTTGCTTATAAAAAGTCTGATAATTATAATTTTTGGCGAGGGTTATTTACCTGACATTACTGTGGTACTTTAGGGTGATAAGAACTGACATGTGCTAGCTAATTACAAAACCTACGTACTTTGGAACAAAAATAAAATCTCATAAAGTGACAAAAATATCGATATATCACACTTAAAGATCGGTCTGTAAATGCCGAAGATATGACGAAATGTAAAAAGACGACGTTCGGCAACAAAAAATTTTATGTCCTTGAAACCGAAATATTTCCTTAGCAAAATATAATAACTTTTAACGAAATTTAATTTACTAGCATTAGAGTGGTAGGAACTGAGATCTGGTAGATAAGTACAAGAACGGAGCCCTCGAGGTCAATAAACTATGGTTCGGCCAAAAAAAAAATCAAAATCACCTTGCAAAAAATCTCAGAAGTGTACCCTATTTCTCTTCAGGAGACTTCCAGTAATATTAATAATATTAAAATCCCCAAAAATTGGAATTTCTATGAAAACTTATTGTTTCCCCATATAATAGACATGGAAAATTTTGAACGCTTTGACCGACCTCTAAATACTTTTTGACTTCAAAACAAAAAACAAACAGGGGTATAATTTTTTATAGCAATGCAAGGGGGTGAGAACTAAAATTCCCTGCAAACCATCTTTTTCAAAGTATTCTGAATTGTAGAGAAATTTTAAAGAATTTCTAAAATGAAATAAACTGTGCACACTTCGATTCTTTTACGAAATTTCGGAATAAAATCGAAAATCGGTAAAGCAATGAAAATAATGCTGCAATGTGAAAAATTTCTTGCACAATTTTTTCAGAATTTTCTTTATTTTTCGTACAGAAATTTTTTACGAGCTCGTGTCAAGCACTCCATATATATATATATTTTTTTTGAAGATTCGTAAAAGAATCTTTACAGAAATAAGATACCCCAAAAGATTTCGTCAAGATTTCTGGAGCCCTTGTTTGGAAAGTTTCGACCACGAATGTATTTTTGGACCACCCTAGTATATACATACATATGTATGTACATATATATAAGTATGTTTCAGCTTGCGGTAGCTGTTGATCTTGCGTCGATGGCTGGCTGTTCCTTTTCATTGTGTTGCAAGTGTTTAGTACGTACGGCTTAAACGCACCAACTAAATGTTGCCAGCTGTCAGTGACAATCTTATCGTTGTGCGACTATGAAGTGCTGCTGACAACACTCTATACGCGCGCGCATATAACTTTGTACATAAATGAATACATAGAGTATACGGTTTTTGATTTGCGATGATCTTTTTTTCCTCTCGTAATCGTCGACATCTCCGGTGGATCTCAGTTAGAAGGGAATGAAGCAACAAAAACGTAACCGTAAAAGGCGTAATGCTTCGCTAAATATCTTACTGTGTTCTATGAAATTATAATAGCGTAGCAACAAATATGTACTTACAAGTGATCTTCCGCCAACAACAACAATGCACAGCAGCAATATAATCCGCGCTTACGAACACAGCGATGGTAAACGGTTTGTTTGTTGATGGCTCTTTTTGAAATTTAATGATACCTTCGCATGTCACAACGCCTTGTTTATTCAACTTTGTTTACGATCCGTGATCATTGCAAGATTTATTTTTTGTTTTGTTCTGACAAATTAAAACACCGTTACTGAATTGCGCAACTGCAAACTGTGTCTGTGATTTTCCATATTGAGTAAAATAAGTGCATAAAAAATATTCGCTACATAATTGCGATTCATACATTACAAATAACTACATATCTTGACAATAATTTAAGTATTGGCATACATAATTAAAAGTGAGATGATGCAGATTTGGAATTCACCTCATTTCTGTTTACAACATATGACTTCCGCGCCGTTTGATCGCGTCAATTCAATCGATAGTAATAACATCTGTTCCACTCTGATGGAGATTCAAATGCGCATGAAAATATTTTCACACACTCATTGAGATGCAATTTACTTGTCAATAAGACAAATAAAAACAAATAAAGAAATCGAACTACAAATGTAAATTCCGGTAGAAATGGAATTTTTTATTTCATACAACACAAAACTTTATATACATACATACATGCTCAGAACGTACTCAGCTATAATTTAATTTGTTCGAAGCTAAGTTCACACGCGTGGACGCCTATTGACATTGTAGACAAAACTACGCAGCACGTGCTGCAATCAGGCTGAGTGAAACCGAATGCATCGATATCGTCTCGGAATAAGCGAATGTTTGGATTTCGTCCCTGATTACACTGCTGATCACTGCGTCCCCAAAAATGTCTCCAAGCTAATCTTTCACTGCACACATACCCTCAAGGTATATTGAGCTTTGAAAGCAGTGAACTTTCTCTGAATCGGAACATGATGGAAGGGTTTACGGAGGAGACTACTGTCAAGAGCTCTTAATCAAGTTTGTGCTTTCAGACTTTCGTAGCTTTTTTGTCAGGAAGAAGTCTTTAAAAAAACAGTAGACAATTTGCCCAAAATTGTGATAAACAAGCGGCAATTAGAGACCCTCTTAGTTGCATTGGACTTACGTTTATATGGGTAGCAGAAAAGAGTGACATTCCGGGAAATTGTAGGGTACGAGAAAAGATAATCTTGAAACAACATTACCGAGCAGGAACGCTTGGACAGATAATTTCAGTCAGCGAACAATGAGGGAAAACTAAAAAAAGAAAACATGAAGCTTAATCATAATTAGCGATTTGTAGGATAAAAATTACTAATTACACTTATATTAGTATAATTTTCGTTAATTATTTAGACATATCCAGGTACCATAAGTCCACAAAAAAACTTTTCAGACAAAAGACAAGAGAGGCATTCGTTTTTGTAGAACATAAGTATTTAGGTCGACGAGTTCGGATATGCATTTCGTTCTTTCAGACTGGCTCTTTATTGCGAATAACTGCAAATTGTGTAAAATTTTTCGTTCCTAAGGTTTTGATACTTTTCAATCTCAACTAAACAAATAACTTGAAAACAATTTTAAAAAATAATACGGTGAATTGTTCTAAGGACGCAAACGCTCACGCCGAAGACGATTAGAGAGAGTACCCAGTTTGATAGTCCATCAAAGGATCTCCCAAGGATTTTAAAATTAAAGGGTATGCAACTCAGCAAATCTGGCTATAGTGCAATCAATACACGCTTCAATTGTAGGGATGGCAAAGTCGACTTCGACTTTCGACCATAATCGACTTTTTACTCCTGAAAGTCGAATTTTAGTGATCGACTTTCAGTTTATGGAAGTCGACTGAAGTCGACTTTTCACTTTCGACTCTCGACTTTTTTTAATTTATTTGCATATAAAAACTGATCTTCTAACAAGGGCGCGGAGTGCTATTTGGTCGTATTTAAAAAAAAAATTGCCAATAAAACTGAAGTGAAATTTGAAAAGTGTGGTAGAGAAATGAATTTTAATGACAGTACAACAACATTGTCAAAAGATTTAAGAGCAGCGCATAAAATTACTATACGAAAACAAATACCTCAAATTTGTTAATCGTTTGTCTCCACAATTTTCAGTTATAATGAGGTAAGATAAACATAGGGATTTATTTGAAAAATTTCATGCAAGAAAGTTTTTCAGCATGAGTTTATGTAAGTTCCTACAGACAGTTTTTGGTTCGAATTTGACCAAACCGTAAGGTACAACATTTTAAACACCGCTAAAAACGTTGCTGGTAAGATTCCAGTTAATATGCGACATTAGTCGTGTGGATAGTCCCAATCCACTAGCTGTCTGGGCTACTCCCACATTTATCCATGCTTATAAAGTGGCACTATATTTCTACAAATACCCGCCAATTCTGCTCCATCGAAAGCCACATTTTTCAAAAAGTTGTCCGTAACTACCAAATATCGATTCAAAAAATTTTTAGAATTTTTTTTTTGTGAAAATTTAAAAATTTTTAAATTATTTTTCAAAAATATAATTGTTAAAAACCCTCACAACCAACATTTTCATGCTGCATAACTGGAACAATTTTCAAAATTTTTAAAAATCCTTTAGTGTGTTTTTTTTACGTAGCATTGAATTTCACTAAATTACAGATTATTCCAAAGACCACTAGGAAATTATGATATTTTTGGCGTATTCTGACTCTTATATTTATAGCTAATATATGAGTTAAATGCAGAGTGTACTTAATACGTTTTATTTGTATTAAAAAAGTCGAAAAAAGTCGAACAAAGTCGACTTTTCTTCGTGGATCGGTCGACTTTTAAAGTCGACTGTAAAGAGTCGATCGAAAAGTCGAAAGTCGACTTTCTAGTGAAGTCGGACAACCCTATTCAATTGTTTGACTGTTCCAGGGGAAGAGTGAACTCGATGAATTTTCAGCACAGTCGTTCAACGCTCACTCACTCGTATTTAAATCTTCAGCTCATAATTATTGTACATATTAGTACATTTCCACCGTACATAAATCTTTGGAAGAACTTCTATTCTTGGGAAGTACCACAAAAGAAGACCTTTTCCCAGAAATATTTTATGAGCAATTTTTTCCCCTTAAACGAGGTTAACAGTCTTTTATCTAATCTTGTTTAATAAATTGTGTATGTTAAATACCATTCATCATTAAGCCTAAGGGCCGTTTTCTAATGTAAGCAGTAAAGTTGCCTTTACTAACAGGGCAGATAAATTGTTCCTCACTTTAAAGTGTTTTCGTTTTCTTACCTTGCCGGTAAAAATTAATTTGTTATTCCGTATAGTGAAACTTCACTACATTTCCGGGAGTGAAACTTCACTACATTCGTCATAAAATTTTAAAGGTTGGCAATGCAACATAAGCAAATATAGAGCAAGAGGAACTGTTAGCAAAAACCAAAACCTTGGTTGAAATATCTAATATATCTGACTCATGAACCAAAACCAAACCAAAATTTAAAGTTGGGTACAAATTTTAAAGGTTGCATCGGGTGAGCAACAGTTTATCGATTCGAGAAATTAATGCGCTGATGAGAAAACGAAAAGTCGTATATCGAGACGATAAAGTGGCCGGTAAACTAAAGGTTAGATGAGAAAACGGCCCTAAGTAGTATAGTTTGGAGTTTAGGATTACCAGATAGTAGTTAACTTATTCATGAAAAACAAAATTTAACTTATTTCGTCCATAAGGAATATCTTCATATACAAACATATCGATATGAGTAGGTATCAATACTTTGGATTCGATATTTTTTGATTTTGAAATTCTGCTAATTTTGGATATAATCTGTCGTTTTTAGCTATTTTCTTTCAATAATTTCCAACGAGTCGCAATTGTGAACAGTTTGGTGGGTTGTGGTCCTTTTGAACAATATTTACCCCATGACTGGCATACCAGTTCATGGCAAGGGGGCTGTAATGGCACAATGCTAAATCCGGTGAGAACAAAACTGAGTCTTTATGTTGCTTTATGAACGACAGCAAACGTTATAGGAAACACTCCTTCATATAAATTTCTTGATTTATGGAGCCCGCGGTAATGAACTTTTTTGCTCTTCATGCCACACTGGCAGATGTCTACACCAAGTATTTATTAGGCCAAAAAAATAGCAATAAAGCTCGTAAAAACAAGGAACTTGTCCAACATTTTTAGCTTGAAGGCATATTTGACTCCATTTGTCTTCGTTGGATTGTAAAACTCAACGCAGCGAATCTGCTTTAAGGCTGATTCGACGTATGTTTCCTCGCCCACAAATACTTTTTCTTGATTTTTGCACAAAATTTTCTCCGCAAGCTCACACTTCGCCTAACACCTTTTGAATAATGCGTACATAGATGTAACAAAATGTAGATACGTCAAATTAATAACGACACCATGCCCGAAGAATGTGTATACTTACTTTTAATTTAAACCCCTAAATTTAAGCCCAAAAATCAGGTCAGTATTTTCTGTCGACAAGCCTGGCAATTGAGTTTTCCTTCACTTAGTCTCTCCCGCGTAGAAGAGACCGACTAATTCCTCTACCACAAACAGCAAGCACCAAATCGAAACTTTCTTTGCCAGAATTTTTACATTCATTCGTCGCTATATTTTCGTTTGAATCTGAATCCTTCACTCCTGTAATATTCACTGTCGCCATAGTGAAAAGGCCCATTAATCATACGCTCAGCCCTAAAGTTCACACAGCTCATCATTTTATCGCCTACGATATCGACCAACGCCAACAAGCAGCGACCCATAAATCTTATGAAAAATTTTTCTCTCAACCAATGAGCTGACCGCCTCATCGGTAGCCGCCAAAGTTAACGTATCTCTAACTTAAAATTAGCTAGGCATAATGACTTATACTGGCATCAATTTCAAGACTTGCGTTGTTGAAACCTAGTTTGGCATCAAAGGACTCACAGAAGCCCATGCCAAGCTTTAGCTATATACCGAATTGGCCAATACAATAGCACTCCCATTTCAAAGTAATATTGTTTGCCACTCGTATTTATTAATTTATTTTTAGGATTCTTCAATTAAAATACAGTGCATTCTCTATCAAAACTCATATAAACCCA